CCTGTGATTCCTGTGGTGAGCTGCGGTCTTCCTGCGTCCACGCTGTCCTCCTCAGATGACACGGACCCTGCATCGACCCTTCCTGCCCACCCCTTATGTGGAGCGCAGAGGCAGCGGCAAAGACCTAGACCGAGTTTGGGGAGAAGAGGGAAAGAGAAATGAATGAAAGAGGGTGGGGGAGGTCACAGTTAGGGAAAGGATAGAGAGATACATAGAGATATGACCATAGATCCCAGATGGAGAAGCAGTTGCAGAACAGAGCACAGGACTCGGGGTCTGAAACCCTGAGCTCCTATCCTCCATCCGCCTTTGACAACCATTGTAACTTTGCACAAGTCGTTCAGCGTCTGAGGCTGACTCAGTGTACCTATCTGTAAGATGGGAATAATGGTAGCGCCTCTCTCAAAAGGTTATTTTGAGGACTCATGATGTAACACATATCCAGTTTTTAGCAGAAAGCTTTAGCATGCAGCTCAGCGTGAGATTCAGAGCTGTGAGCCCAATACTTTGACAGATGAAGTCTGTGATGCTTTTCTCTCTCTGGACATCAATTTATTATTCCAAACTGGAACCAGCCATGTAGTGTACCCTGGCTGGGAGAAACGATGAGAGTCTATTTCCTAGCTTGGGGCCCCATTCCATGTGAAGATAATACTTACATTTCTGCAGCACTTTTTATTTTCTCTAGAACTTGAACATTGTGTCCTCATAAAATAGAACTTGGGGGTTTGAGTGGGCAGGTGGAGAAATGGAAGCATTGAGTAGGAAGGAGTCACACGGGTGGTCCAGAGTGAACTCTGCCCTTTGTCCCACCTCCTAACCTCCACCTCATCCTGGGACAGAGAAGACTCAGAGCAATGTGGAGGTTAGTGACTGTCTGGTGGGAAAAGGGAAGGAGTCACACGGGTGGTCCAGAGTGAACTCTGCCCTTTGTCCCACCTCCTAACCTCCATCTCATCCTGGGACAGAGAAGACTCAGAGCAATGTGGAGGTTAGTGACTGTCTGGTGGGAAAAGTTCCCCTACCCTTTTGGGGGAAGTCACCATGTGTGCATACAGGATAAGCTGTAAGTCTTGGGCTGGCCCTTCCTGGCTAGACAGGTATCCTGGGGGCTGACCAATATGCTTGTCTTAGCTGGAGTTTTCATGGACAGGGACAGGTGCCAGGGGAGGGTGTTCAAGTGGCAGCTCTAAGCCTCTAATCTAGGGACCTGAGTAGGACATCAGATCATGTAGGGCGCCAACAGCTCCTGCTATCCTCCTACTTTTTGTCACCTGCTGGAGTCACAGGCACAGAGGGAGGCCACTCAGGGCCCAAAGACAAAACAGCCTGGAACTCGGCCCCATCAGCGTGGCCTGGGTTATTCAGGAGAGCCTTCCAGAGTTAGCCTCTCTCACACTCCTTCCTGAGACTCCATGATATTTACACCACACCAAGACACTCCAGCTGCCCATGTCTTTGCCTGCGAGTTGCCCAGAAGTTCTCAGCAGAGATGAAAACCTGCCTAAGAAGGCAGAAAAGTGCCCACGGGCCTCAGGAGGCTGTGAACAGTGATGACATGGCAGCTTGGCCCAGCTGGAAGCTGCGTCTCCGGGTCCTAACCAGAGGGAAGCCCCCTTGGCATGGCACCCCTGGCCACTGTGTTCTCTTGGATACCAGCAGCCTTACTCACCAATCTAGTCTCAACGTGCCCCACAGTGATGACTGGGTCTGGTTGACTTTCCTCCCCGCCACATGTGTAACGTGTTGCTCCTTCTCTTCTCTCATCAGAATTCCCGTCCCTGGTAAAGGCTTAGGCAGCTCCAGTTCACCAAGCATATGCAAGGACCGACCTCCGCACTCTGCCCCTGACGTCCTCGTCACCCTTCTGGACTCATCGCTGCAAACTTCTCTGTCGTTCTGTGGTGTCGATCAATCACCTCTACGTTGCTAACTGCACAACCAACATTACTTGCCAACTAGGCATTTTAGTGTTGCAGCCATTGTCCGAACAGCAATTCACAATGTGGTATTTTTGGTGGAAAAATAAAATGAAGTTAAAGTAGTCCACAGATATCTCTCTCTCTCTCTCTCTTTCTGTGCTGGCCCTCAGGACTGTCCAGCTTCCCATGACAGGGTGTTTTGTCCATGGGATCCAGTGGAGATTTTGCTTCTGCCTGGATTGCCATGCTGGGACAAGAAGGCAGCAGAGAGTGTCGGGGAACTGCCACTAAAGGCCAGGAAAAGGAAATTGCACTAGAAAAAGATGAATAATTTAACAAAAGGCAGAAGGATATGTGATGAAGTTGTAGGAAGAAAACACTCTTATACACTGTTAGAGCATAAATTAGTATAAACTTTCCAAAAACCTACTTAGCAGATGTAGTAAAAGTCCTTAAATTAAAAAAAAAAATTATATATATATATGTCTGTGAGTATGTGTCTGTATACAGAAAAACATGGGAAGAGAATAGGGAAGCATTTATAGTGGCTTTATCTAATTGAAGGAATTATGAGTAGTTTTTCTTTTTATGGTGTTCTATAATTCCCCTAACGCACCCATATTTCCTCATTTTTAAAAGGAGGGGCGAAAGAAGGAAGGACTAGACAGATGTAGGCACGCACAGAGACGCCTTTAGCACACACGCACACACGATCCACGTCCACCTCGGGGAGGGGATTATTACAGCTTCCAAAGCAATATTCCCCTCAAATCAAAGACTTGGGACCATGACTAGAGCTAGTTCTGTGGCCCTAGGCAGGAAACTTAATCCCTTGGAGACTTAGTTTCTTTATCTGTAAAATAGGGGGAATAATTACAGGCTTGTTGTGAGGGTCTAAATCTGCCCTGTCCAATACAATAACTACTAGCCACCTGTGGCTATTTAAATGTACATGTGTCATAATGACAACAACTTCAGTTCTTCAGGGGCACTGGCCACATTTTCAAGGGCTTGATAGCTACATATGGCTGGCGGTTACTGCATTAGATAGCTAGATAGAGAATTTCCCATGATGCAGAAAGTTCTAGTGGCCAGCACTGTTCTGAGACATAGACAGTGCCCGGTCCTTGGCTAGGGTGCAGTAAGGCCAGCTGGGATCATGATGATGACTGTGATTATGATTCTTTGTGAACTACCTCATGAGTTCATGAGTGAACTCCCTTATGAGGCTCACTGCAGGGGCGAGTGAGAGGAGGGCCTCTGATGAGCACTTAGAAAAAAAGAGATGGGCCGGCCCGGTGGTGCACGGCGATAGTGCGCCGCTTGGGAAGCGCGGCGGCGCTCCCGCCGAGGGTTCGGATCCCACATACAGACCGGTTCCCGCTCACTGGCTGAGCGAGGCATGGGAGCAACGCCGAGGGTTGTGATCCCGTTGCCGGTCCCGGTCCGGTACGGGGGCGACACTGAGGGTTGCGATCCGTTGCCGGACACGGAAAAAGACAAAAAAAAAGTGAAGTCCCTTTTAACACCTTAAGAGGCCCTCTGCCAAGCACATCTATTTTAGATCCTGCAGCCGTGATCACACTCACCGAGTGGGTGTGAAGAACTGAGCATCCAGGACTTTCCAACCCAACCCCGCAGGGTCTTTCTTCCCAGCCCCAGCCTCCAGCTCCTGGAGGTAGGGCTGTGACGACAGGTCCTCCCCCACTGCCACATTCAGAAGAACAGTGCATCCATGTGGACTGTGACCTATACATCCACGTGGACTGGGAGGTTGACCTTTCTCAGGATGGTTGAATCATCGGTGTGCAATAGCAGTGGGCATTTCCTGTATGCCTGTGTGCACCCAGAGATGCCACCCTGGCAACAGAGGAGAAAATACATCGCTCCCTGTTTGTAAGAGCCCACGGCTGAGGCTGTAATCGGGGTGTCTCTCGCTGCTCGGGCAGAAAGTCTTCCAGGAGTGAAGGGGGACAGCTCAGGGCAATGGAGTGTGAGTGGGGCTTTCCCCATCTCTGGGTTACTTGTTCAGCCAAAGGATTCCCCACCTCCCTCCTTCCTGTAGGAGAAGCCGGGGTCCTGGTTCATCTCCGAGGAGGTCAGGACCGAAGAGCACCTGGGTAGCTTAAAGCCCAGGTCTTCTCCATGGTCAGTGTCACATGGTATTTACCATCAGCCACTGACCAGTGTCTTTGACAAGATTCCATCAGAGGCCACAATATGGCGCCAGCTGGCCAAGACCACCCTGCAGCTTGTTTGATTGGCTCACCCAGAGTTTGAAAAAATTGCAACTAACTGCCAATATTGAAACATTTGGAGAGTTTACGTGAAAAAAATCCACGTTTTCAGATTCTCTTGCAAAATCGTAATATCTGTCCACGTGGAACCCACATTCAGGCCTGGCAAGCGTCCATGAGCTGAGTTTCAGGAGTGCGGGGCCCCCCTTAGAGTTGGCCGCAGTACCCATGGGCCTCTTTCCCAGGGGCTGTCTCTGCTCAGGCCCGGTGGACACTTAAATGTGCCACCTCTGCTGGAAAACTGCAATTCCCTGAGCATGTTCTGACCAGGAAGGGCCTGTGGGCCTGAGACTCACTACAACTGTCCCCATCACCACCCTGGGGCTGTGTTATGAGGTGCATTCCCACACAGGACCTCACCTGACCCTCGTGCAAGCCCTCTGGAAGGAAATAGGACATGGTCACTACCTACAGCAGGAGATCATCGGGGCCAGATAAGAGTGTCAACACGATGGGCTGAAATTCCTGCCAAAGGGACTCCTCTGGGAAGGACGGGGACACACATAATAACACAAGATGATCTGATCTAGATACTTTAGGGAACATTTTGTTCTTGGGTGAAAGTAGTGATGTAGGAAGAATGGGACGGTGGAGAGAAAGGGGAGTGGATGAGAGGAGAGAGCTGGAGGCTTGTTCCTGAAGACGAGGGACACGGTGGAAGGTGGATGTGCAGGAGAGGCCAGCATGGCCGAGCCAGGACTCAGAGCAGTGGTGACCCCTGGTGGACATAAGGAGGTCTGCTGCCCCTTCCTCGAGGTGGATGTGCAGGAGAGAGGCAAGCATGGCCCAGCCAGGACTCAGAGCAGTGGTGACCCCTGGTGGACATAAGGAGGTCTGCTGCCCCTTCCTCGGGGATTTTATGGCAAAAACCATCGACAGGAAAAAAAAACGTGAGTAGCTACCAGGCACCACTCCACCTACAAAATGCATATCTTTACAAAATTTTAATTATCCCTCACAACAACCCTGTGATTGCTACTATTCCTATCATTATCCCTTTTCACAGCTGAGGAGACCCAGGTTCTGGGAACTGAAGTGATTTATCACATCCCAGGGCTGTTCCAAGATTGTGCCCACCCCTAACCCACTTCAAGAACAAAAGTAGATGCAGCAATCCAAAAGAATTGAACTCAGGGATTCGAACAGATATTTGTACACCCATGTTCATAGCAGCATTATTCACAATAGCCAGAAGGTGGAAGCAACCCAAGTGTCCATCCACAGACGAATGGATGAACAAAATGTGGTCTATCCATACGATGAAATATTACTCAGCCATGAACATGGATGTACCTTGAGGACCTTATGCTAAATGAAATAAGCCGGTCACAGAAGGACAAATACTCTATGATTCCACTTCTTTGAGGGACCTAGAGGAGTCAAATTCACTGAGACAGGAGGATGATGGTTTTGGGGGCTAAGGGTAAAGAGGGATGGGGAATTAATGTTTAATGGAGACAAGTTTCAGTTTCAGAAGATGAAAAAGTTCTAGAGATGGATGGTGCTGATGGCTGCACAACATGAATGTGCTGAATGCCACTGAACTGTGCACTGAAACATGATTAAGATGGCCCATTTTATGTTATACATATTTTGCCACAATGAAAAAACAAGACTGGGATGCACTCTCTGCCAGGCCTCTGTCCCCGCCCTGGCTCCACAGTGGAGGAAGCTGGTTCTCCCCGAGGAGAGAGCTTGGCCTCGAGCCTCCCCAGGTCGCCTCCCTGCACCCACTTGTCTTTCTCAGATCTTCATTGTCCCCCCACACCCTGCCTCAGCCTCACCTCGCATCATTAAGTGGACGTGCACTGAGCAGGATTCTGACCCTGTCATTTTCCCTTCCTTAGCCCTGACTCTCTGGACCTTCCGTGACATTCCGCCTTCCTCCTTTTGCGTGATATTGGTTTCCCAGTCTTGGGAACATTCTTTGTCTCTTCACCTAACTGAACAATTAGTTTTTTTGCATGATATTGGTTTCCCAGTCTTGGGAACATTCTTTGTCTCTTCACCTAACTGAACAATTAGTTCTCAGACGCCCAGCTTCTCTGTCCTCTCTCTCTCCTCTCAACCTTCCCTGGCCCACGACACACGTGAAAGGCAAGACTTTCACTGTTGGGCTCAACAGATGTCCATGTTCCAGGCAAGGCTGGGTGGGTGCAGGAGTCCTCAGAGCAGGAATCCTTCACTGCTGTCTTTCCAGGCTCAGGCTCTGGGAAGTTCAGGCATAAGGGCCTCCTCTCTGGTTTCATGGCCAACCTGTGACCAATGTCATGTCAACTGAATGACTTCTCCACATTTGCCACCTTCTCTTCCACCCCAGCTGTCCTGGGAGACATCAGGCCCTTCCAGCCTTGTGTGGGGGTCAGTGTAGACCTAGGATTTGAGGTGTACTCTTGTTACTGAACCCAAGTCCGGCTGCCCACCACCAGATGGAAATGACTTGAAAGTCAAGTGTTGGTGAAAAGGGAAGGGAGCTTCATTCAGGACTGGTCCCCTGAAGGAGATGGTAGGCTAACCCATCTCATATTCTCAAGGTAACCCAGGGTTTTTAATGGGATAGGAAGCAGGGAATGAAAAGCAGGAGGGGAGAAATGAGCTATGGGGGCTACATATAAGGGATCAGGTGCAAATTCTTATCAGGGTTCCATCTGGCTTCTGTCCTCATCCTTGACATGATCTTAGAGTCCTGCAGGATTTTGATTTGCTTTGGGGTGGAAACAGCATAGCTTTACTGATGTCCTCCTTTGTTTCTCAGGATCTGGATATTACATGCCTCATAGCAAGTTTGCAGCTCCAGGAATAACTTTACAATAATGTAAATAATATTCGACCCTGTAACCAAGGTTCAAAATATCAAATAACCATGGGAAAAGAGGGAACTCAGAAATGCTCATTAAGCTAGACTTAATGCATATCTTATATTCTGCTAGATAAGCGTACT